AATCTATTATCCCATCATCCTTCTTTTTTTTTTTAAAAAATATTCCCTGAGCTTATAATATTCCTCCCCCAACCCTCAATCGTATACTAATTATAATCCACCCCTAAATGATGTCCCTAAACCCAAGGGCAAACTTTACTGGAAGAGGGGACATCGTCCTCTAGAATTACTTCCAGCTGTCATAGGGGCAACGTTCTTTCTGGGGGATCCTGTGAAAGTAAAATGATGGTTAAATTTCAAGATCAATGTCTTTTAAAATTGCCAATAGTCTCTGAATGTTTTGTGCAGGTCTGGCCAAAATGTTGTATAAGATGTGCACCATTTCAGCTAACCAAGTTGGAACTGTCTTGTGCAGCTGGTACCCAAAGCAGGTCTTGTAGTGGCACTATCAGTATCATGACGTCATATCAACCAGGAGGAGTTGTTGTTATGGGGCCCCATTTTCTTCCTGGAAACTTCAAATGTCACTTCAGGAAAAACTCATTGTTCATTATGAAAAACTTAAACATTAATCATATATATATATATATATATATATATATATATATATATATATATATTCAGTGAAAACATGATAGATATATTCAATGAAAAGTATGATAGATATGAAGAAAAGCAAAGATGTTTTCTAAACTCATATTTCTTTCTGTCCCACATCATGGCTCTTGACATGAGACAGAAACTCCAGAAACTCTGGGTTTTTCTCTTACTAACAGGCTTGGAATTGGAGAGGGACTGAGCCAGAGTCCAACTTCAAAACCAGCTTTATAAATTTAGAAATATGGTTTAATATTACTTACACAACCCATTCAGTTTTCTTGATATTTCCTATTGGGCAGATATTTTCCCATCTGTCAGTATCCAAACATCCAGGGTCCCTTGAATTTCTCAAAGATGAGTGTTTTCCTGTGGAGATAAGAACAGAACCCTTCCCCCATTCTATATGTTTTTCTTACCACCTGTATGAATATCATCATTGTGGAATGTTAATCTGGGTATTCCATTGCTGTAGCAGGTCACGGCTGCATAAATTTATGGCAATATTGGCTACATATGGCCTTAGTCTTCCTATTTGCCCTTCGGGCCCTATGCATTTAACCCATCTTGTGCTTTGTTTTACACATGATAGGGTTCCAATTCCCAGGAACTGAACATCTACCTCTTGAAGAGGCCAATTCGGATGCCAAGATTCTGGGGTAATGATACTTACATCCGCACCTGTGTCTAATAAGCCTTCAATAAAAGTGCCATTTATACAGACTCTTAGCTTTGGTCTTTGATCATTAATAGAAGTCTGTCAAAATATACATTTACTCTGTCCTACTGGGTTTTTTGACTCATCCTCCACATGTAATTCATCATTTAGACCAGTATTATTTTTTACAGCAGAAATTGGAGCTTTTAATTTTCTTGGTGAGGCATGTTCTCCACTGTGACTGGGAATGACTGGGCCACTGTTGGCTTGGGGGCCTGCGAGAGGCCCCCCAAGGAGTTTCCCGATGATAGTGGATTGCCCCGTCTGTCTGTTGTTGACCTACATTCGTTGGACCAATGCTGGCCTTTACCACATCTCCTACATATACCTGAAGGCCGAGGTCTCCTATTTTTGTCATTCCCAGAAGAGATATTATTCCTAGAAATTCTTTGCTTGCAATCCCTTTGCAAATGTCCTAATTTACCAAAATTAAAACACCTGGCAGTTTGATGTCTCCTCATTGCTTTGGAAATCGCTTCTCCTACCCAAGATTCATCATTATAGCTAAACGTCTCAACATTCATCATATGCTGAATCCATTCATCCCTAGGTGCTGATCTAGACTTTAAAGGCCCAATTATCTTTTTGCATTCTATGTTTGCATTCTCAAAAGCTAGAGATTCAAGAAGTATTCGTCTAGCTTCTGGGTCTGTTACCCCTATGTCCAAAGCCTTAATTAATCTTTCCAAAAAGTCAATAAAGGGTTCTCTCTGTCCCTGCCTAATTCTGGTATATGATTCAACCCTTTTTTGCTGGATCTTGTATCCTATTCCAAGCATTTAAAGCTGCTTGGTGACATAGACACAGTACTTCATCTTCATAAAGAGCTTGGACCTGTGGATCAGCATATTCTCCTGCACCAAGAATTTGATCTTGGAAAACCTCAATACCTTTTGCTCTTCCTTGCTGTTCCATATGTTTGGATTCTTCTCTGAAATAAATTCCAAACATCAAGGAAGGTCCATTATCCAAAACTGCAGACACTAACTGATGGAAATCATGGGGGGTAGCTCTAGCATTAGAAGCCCAAGTCCTTATCATTTCCTTTACATATGCATTGTGCAAGCCAAAATTAACAACAGCTTGCTTAATTTCTTTCAGATCATTCATTGCTATTGGTGTCCATCTAGCTTCTCTGACTCCCTTTGAGCCTTTAGAAGTTGACGCTTTGTCAGAATTAAGTATAGCGTATGTCGCTAGAACCCTGGGTAAGCCAGTTCTAATAGCTGGTGGAGGCATTGTATCCTGTCCTTGTGCCTCCTTACTCTGTTCACCAGCTGCAATAATTTCTCCAATCTTTTCAAATCTTTTTATCATTGTCTCTCTTAAATCCTGAATCTCCTGACCTGTATATATTTCCAGTGATTTCAATGAGGTATCAATTTTTTGGTCCCCATTCTGCACCTGTGATTCCAAAGCTTTAATTTTTCCTTCAAAGATAACATGTCCTCCTTAAACTTTTCTTGTATATCATGTAGATTCCCATCTTGGAGGTACATTCTGTCTGTTACCTTATCAAAACTTTGTGATAAAGTCTGAAGGTCAAATTCAACAGCCTGAACCCTTTCAGGTAACTTTCTAATACCCTTGGATATGGAATCAATTTTGTCTGTCATAGTATCCACTTGTTCAGATAACCTCTGATTTTCAATAATTTTAATCCTGTCAATTAGTTGTTCATTATTAGTTCGTAAAGATTCTATCATTCTTAGTAGTGCCATATTCTTCTGTTCATTATTAGTTTGTAAAGATTCTATCGTTCTTAAGAGTGCCATATTCTTCTGTTCATTATTAGTACGTAAAGATTCAATCATTCTTAGGAGTGCCATATTCTTCTTTAATGATAGAATATGGAAAAGAAAACTGAAGCCTAGTAACAAGCAAATTAAGGTATCCCCATAATCATATAAACCTTGTATGATATAATTCATTGTATTAGTAAATATAAATTTACTAATCCATTGTATTAGTGAAAACAAAGCAGTAAAATTTGCGTTAGAAATGAAAACTGCCATATTACCTACTATCCAGCAGGTGGCGCTGTTGCAGAGTTGCGATGAAAACATGGTCCTGTTTCAGTGCCTTAGTAGATGTTAAAAACTGGAAAATGCAAGTTTCTCAGCAAAGTAAATGTAATTGAATCAATTCCAGAGACCGAACCAGAAACCCAGAATCCAGGGGTAGAGAAGAGCAATCTGGAAGCCGCTTATGCCTCCACGTGACAGACTCACCCTGAGGGATTGCAGCTTTCAGCAACCTTGTGCTCTGGTTCACGCCACTTAAGAGCTGTGCTTGCAAGGGAGATTTAAAAATGACTCAGAAAAGAGCAAACCACGCAGGCAGAGACTATGCGGGCCTGTGGAGTTTAAATCCATGTGGGGAGGCCAAGGCCACCACTGCAAGGCACAGGCAGCAGCTGAGGAAGGAAGGGCTCCCGCCAAGCCGAACTTGCGGCCACCAAGCTGAACTCGCGGCTGAGAGCGGGGAAAGGAGAGGTTCTAAAACCAAGCGTTGGGAGCCAAAATGAAGGCGTAAGTCACAAACAATGCCACACCAATTTGGGATTATGATTATTAGGGTGGTATTTATTTAAAGGGGAAAAAACTTACAGATCACTGTCCCAGGCAACAGCCCTCTATGCAACCAGGAAAGGAGTGGAAGTGAAGAGAGCGAGGAGAGGTAAGTGGCCGCTTTTTTAAAGGGAGAGAGACCACGCCCCAATGGGCTGGTATCTCAGCAGCGATAGGCTGGAGGAGTGGGAGGACCTCCCGCAACATGAAACATCAATCATTTATTCAAATTAAATGTCTATATACAAATTCAACGGCCCTCATCTTAAACCCTATTATCCCTTGATGATATCATCATCAACCCAGATTATTCTCATTTTGTTTCTAGTTGTTAAGAGTGAATTGCAAATAGTTATCATGTAAACTGCTATCCTTTTAATTTATAATGTGGAATAGCTGAACCTAGTTAACTAAAATATATTTTTAGATGGCCTTAAGAGTTATTTTTTATAATGAACTCAGATTTCTAAACACTATGAAAACTATTGCTTTTGACTCTCTGTCTATTGAAACTGTCAAATTCTCAAATTTTCATAAGTTCTTGTCATCTCCTTGGTACATTACAGTAAAAAAATGATAATTTATGTGTTATCCGACCTTCTGCCATCATACTGAGCTACAAAACATTCTGAGTAACTACTCTGTGCTGAAATGGCAGAGTGGTACCTCATACAGTGAACCTGGGTTTGTTGTTTTTGTTTGTGTTTTGTTCTTGTTATATGATAAATTTAAAAAAAAAACACTTGGAACTTGTGACAAATGGTTATTTATTTTTCCCTGACATTTGTATTATTTTTTTCACTTATTTTACTTATCAACCACAGTTTCCCTTCCCTTCTCTCTTTCTGTTCCCTCTCCCAATCTCCCATTAACTCCCCCATTCCTCCTTCAGAAAGTGGCAGGCCTCCCATGGAAATCAACAAAACATGGCATATCAAGTTAATGCAAGACCAAGCTCCTCCTGCATCAAGGTTGAGCAAGGGAATCCAGAACAGGGAATAGGTTCCAAAAAGCCAGCTCATGCACCAGGAACAGGTTCTGATCCCAGTGCCAAGGTCCCACAAACAGACCAAACTACACAACTGTCACCCATATGCAGAGGGCCTAGTTTGGTATCATGCAGGTTTCCTGTTGGTCCAGAGACTGTGAGTTCCCACTAGCTCTGTCAGCTGTGTTTATTTCTTTTTTAGTCTTCTCAGGGCTCCCAGAACCTCTTTATTCCTCAGACTATACATAAATGGATTTAGCAAGGGGATTATTATTGTGTAAAATAAAGAATACAGTTTTTCCTTATCTTCAGCTGGTCCAGACCCAGGACATATATAAATGAGGAAGAGATTTCCATAGAACAAAGAGACAGATAGCAGATGGGCACTGCAGGTGGAGAAGGCTTTGCTTCTGCCCTTCACAGACTTCTTTCTCAGGATGGCAAAGAGCACATGGATATAAGAGACCACAATGTTTGCAAATGTGAAGATTTGTATAAAGAGTGAGCAGATGAAAACCACCAGCATATTAAGTGTAGGATCAATGCAAGAAATTGTGAATAACTGAACAATTTCACAGTAGAAATAATGTATAGCATTGGACCTGCAGAAAGTGAATCTGATTAACAGCCCCACATGAATTGTTGAATTCAGGACACCTATAAAATATGTAACAACTGTCAACCGAGTACAGAGCTTATTGTACATCACCACTGGATAAAGCAGGGGGTTGCATATGGCAACATAGCGGTCCATCACTAGCAGGAAACATTCTGTGGTTGCACAGGAGCAGAAAAAGTAAAATTGGGCAAAGCACTTAATCAGGGATATCTCCTGATCTATAGATAGGAAATTAACAAGCATCTTGGGGTTCAAAGAGGATGAAGTCCATGCATCATCAAAAGCTAAACTGCTGAGGAATAAGTACATGGGTGTGGTATGAAGGTGAGAGTCCTTCCAGATGAAAGCAATCAGTCCAAGGCTGCCCACCATGATGATGAGGTAGATGACGAGGAACACCAGGAAGAGTGGCTCCTGCAACTCTGGACGCTCCGTGAGTCCTGTGAGGACAAACTCAGTCACCAGAGTCTGGTTTCTTTCTGCCATATCAGACCTGGACAATCTCTAAGGTGAAAAGGTGAGAACAACCAGGTAGAATTATAAGATGGGGAGACGTTTGTGTCACTAATATAGTCCTATATGATGCTTCTGTACTAGTTTTAAATATTTACTTTCATTTTTTATTTAAATAATCAGTTAAAAATTCCTATAATAAGAAAGTAAATATAAACTATATAAAAATTTAATGCAAATTCTTTGCTTTTCAGTTTAGCAAGGTTTTATAAACCTTGACATGAAAAATCAGTTTCCAGTCCTAAGGTTAATATAAGGAGTAAGAACAGTCAAACATACTTAATAAATAGTGAACTAAGTTAAAGGCTTAATGAACAAAACATTAGGAAAAAGCATAAGTAGACAGAATAGAGAGATAAAAATAAGTCCTAGAATGTATATGACTGATATGAACCCAAAACAATGATTGTAACTGCCAGTTATATGTCTGGAAATAATAAATTAGACTCCACCCTCACATCAAACTTAGAAAGTAACACATATCAAAGAAAGAGCAGCTTATCTCTATTATCCAAGGAAACAACTTATCATAAAACAAACAGCAGCAACAAAAACAAGCAGTATTTTAAAAACAAACAACATATAATAAATTTGAGAAATATATTTTAATGTATGAATGAAAGTAATATGAAGATTTATGTCTGTATTCTAACCACAGTGAAATGAAAGATGGTCAATTTGAGTATACAACTTACATACACACACATACATACTCACATATATCCCTATTTATACATAACATTATCAGAAATTAAAATGCATAATATATTCAATATAAATGGAGATGATGAAAATAGTATTTTCATATACTAATTATGGAAAAGTAATTGCTACAGGTTTTCTGAAAACAATTTTATAAAATCCCATTTTAAATGCAAATATGTCTGATATATTCTCCTTTTATTTTACCCTAGAAATAAAAGCATAAACACACAAGAATTAATCTGTGTGTGCGGTGTGTGTGTGTGCATGTAATATATAATTCTTTGTTTTTTAAGGTGGGAAGGGAAAAACATATCCAGAATAAAGTAGTGGGAGAAATTAATAACATAGACTAAAATTTGGTGCTGAAAGAAGAAACAGAAACAAAATTTGAGATTTTTAGACAGTATCAAATCTTGAGTGATATGTAGATAAATAAAAATAATTACAATCTCTTTATTGTCACACCGCTAATAATTTTGTGTAAAACGTATCATTTAAAACTATATTTTGCATGTTGGTAAAAAATGCTAAATTCACTATAGTGTCTTTGGGGGTTTTGTTTTGTGAGGGGAGATAGAGGAAAGGAAGGGGTGGAGAAGAAACAAGTAATAAATCCCAGTGAGAGTTCTAGCAGGAAAGAATCCCATAAAGCTTAAATCATTTCACAAACAACAAAAAAATGGTAAGCATGCAAATGTATAACTTGCATGTAGATACCTGAAAGAAGGGCCTTTACAAGTTAGTGGTGTAGAACAGTGACTTCTGATTGCTGCCTTTTATAAAGGTATTTCTATACTGAAAATTCCATGTAAAACGAGGAGCACTTCATCTTTAATTTTAGAATTAAAACTCAGCTAAATTCAGAAATAAACCTAGGAAAATAAATATATTTGCTTACCAATGGTTCTCAACCTTCCTAATTCTGTGACTCTTAACTACAGTTCCTTATTTCGTGGTGATTCCTAACTATATAATTATTTTTGTTGTTACTTCTTAACTGTAATCTTGCTACTATAATAAATCATAATGTAAACAGCTATGTTTTCCTATGATTTTAGGTGGAATCATAATCCGCAAGTTGAGAACCAAGGATTTAAATATTTTAAGTGGGGAAAATTTTTAGCATGGAAAGTAGATACTTTAAAAAAAAAACCTTAAACTTACCTCTAATTAATAAAGAATCTGTTAGATTGGCAAAAAGAAAAAGAAAAGAAAAACATACAAAAAAAAGAAAGTTGTTTTTTGCCCAGCAATTCTCTGATAAAGCTTATTCCTGTGCTCTTAATTTCTGACCCTGTCATGAAAGGACATATAAAGTTAAATTAAATTGAGACTTTTATGATTGACAGTTTCTTAAAGAATGTTCAGTTTTCAGATTAAATTTTTAAGGTATAATACATATAAGAATACATGTTGTTATGTTTCCATATGTTGAAAGCATAAATAATTTGATAAGAATAGTTAATACTTGAAGACCATAAAATTCTAGTTATAACAGTATATTATGTTCATCTAATTTTAAATTATCAGCTTTGAGAATAAATCTCAGCATGGAGAATGAACAAGTTATGTCTTTACTGAAAATACAAGATTGGGAGCAAATTGGAATTCTTTCAAATAGCCACAAGAACTCTCTTATGCAAAAGAGTGATGGAGGAAGGTCATTGGCTAATAAAGAAACTGCCTTGGCCCATTTGATAGGCCAGCCTTTAGGTGGGTGGAGTAAACAGAACAGAATGCTGGGAGGAAGAGGAAGTGAGCTCAGACACCATGCTCCCCTCTCCCAGACAGACACGATGAGGCTCTGACCCAGGATGGACATAGGCTAGAATCTTCCCGGTAAATGCACCTCGGTGCTACACACATTAATAGAAATGGGCCAGGCAGTATTTAAATGAATACAATTTGTGTGTTGTTATTTTGGGGCATAAGCTAGCCAAGTGGCTGGGAGCAGGGCAGCAGGAATGCAACCCGCAGCTCGTACAACAGAATGGCGACCAACATGGTAGCAGCAATTTCTTGGGTCTGCTCTGCTTGCTAGAGGCAAGCAAGCACTCTCATCTAAAAGAGGCTTTCTGACTCAGCTTTAGCTGCAAAACCCTGCAGCTCTTAAGAGGTCCTGCCATGAAACACTTAAATGGTGGTAATAAAAGCCGACTGAATGCTTGTTTGTTTTCAGCCGTAGCAAGAAAAAAGTTGTGCTGTTTTAAAATGCCAGTTTTCTGGGCCATCCTGCCAGGGCGAACTCAGACTCAAGCAGGTAGTCTGAATGTGGTCTGTGAGCAGAATGCTGCAGTTTGCTTGCTGGCAGGGACCTTAAAACACCATAGAGTTGTGGCGGTAAATGTGGCTATGACAGGCACCTCCGCCATGAGGCTGGAAAGCTAAGGAATGGGCTGGATCTAGCTGCCAAAGCCACGGCTTTAATCCTACCCATATTGCTCTGTAATTTAAAGGCTAGTGTATTCAGAAAAAGAGAGATACAGTAAAGAGAGAATCAAAAACAAAGAAAACCTCTAAATGATTTACAGTGTGTTGAAAATATATGCAGACTAAAAGTTAAAGTTCTTAAAGTAAAAAACAAAAAAAAGGAAGAAAGAGAGTAGTTGGGTGTGGTAGGACTCACCATTGATCCCAACACTTGGAAGGCAAAGGGAGATTGACCTCTGTGACTTCAAGGTGTGGTAGCACACGCCTTTAATCCCAATGCCTGGGAGGCAGAGACAGGTGGACCTCTGAGAGTTCAAGGACAGCCTGGCCTTCAGAGTTATTCCAGGACAAAGATATACAGAAAACCTGTCTCAAAAGTAAAAATAAACAAAATAGAGTTAAAATAAATGCGTACAAAAATGGAAAATAAACAGAGAATTTTGATACTGTATGCTATTATGCTCTCTTTGAATTGTTTGAATGCTGAGGAAGGAGCAACAGCTGCTAAAAGATATTTGTTTATAAATGCTGCTGAAATAATACAACATAGATATTTTGAAAATACCTTGACTTCAGAATTTGGATCTAAGTATATGATACTTTGGAAAAGAGATTCTTCTTTTGTTTTCACAAAGGATGAGACCCTGTGGATTGCTTCTATTCCAATATGGTATGATAGACCACGCCCTCCTGAAAGGTTGCTGTGAACACCCTTAAAAAACTACTTCACTCGACTGCTGACTGAGATAAATCTAGTAGACAGATTATACCATTAAAGACCTGAATAACAGCACCCCCATTCAGTCGGAAGCAGTTTGGAGAGAAAAAACTATTCCCGTGTTCCCAAATACTGTTTATAAATGTTCTTTTACATTTAAAGGGGGATATGATGTAGATTTGAATAATTAGCATTGGTATGGATTTTAAGGTCAATTTTGTTATATGTATATGTATTTCTGATCTTGATTAAGGTATTCTGATTGTGTAGTTCATTTAAAAATGTAATGTATATAGGTTGTTAATGGATAGTCATCTATAATAGTTAAGTTTGTAGTCATGTTAGATTTTCTAGATGTACATAGATATATTTTAGATAGACATTCTTCATATCTTTCAAAGACTACAGAATAGGACATTTAATGTTTTAATAACTTAGGACTTTTCATGACAATGAGACATCTGCTCCTGGCAGCACCAATATACTTCAAGTAGAAGATGGGTATCAAAGAGGTTCCTTATGGAGTTTGATAGCCATTTGGGCAAGAAACTGCTCTTGCCTAGACTATGGCATAAACTGGACACAGAGAACCTGCAGAGAGAGGACTACCAAACTTGCCTAAAGGTGAGATGATCTTTCAAGGTTCCTGATTCGTGAAAAAGTCTGTGAGATATTCTGAAGGACACAGCAGATAGTGACTGAACTGCCTTTGAAATTTCCTGCTTCATGGAAATGTCTCTGGATACTATGGGCCTGAAGGCCAAAGATGGATGCCCCAGCAGTATAAAAGAACTTTGGGTGACTGTACAGGAAGTGAGATGTCTCTGTCATTTCTAGAGTTTTGAAAGTTGCTTATTTCTTGTTTAATTATGTAATATTTTATCCTTCTGGAGTCTTTGATGGAGTTAAAAAATATATAGATAGTTATAGTTTTCCTTAGTTATGATAAAAGATAAAGTAGATGTAAATATTGTAACTGTAATTCTTGCTTTGTTATAAGTAATTTTGCTATGTTAAAGTGATAGCCTTTCCTTTTTGTTTAAACAGAAAAAGGGGAAATGATGGAGGAAGGTCATTGGCTAATAAAGAAACTGCCTTGGCCCATTTGATAGGCCAGCCT